TAAAAATGTGGGGTTTTTGTGTGTTTTTTTTGTTTGTTTTGTTTTTTTGTTTTGGTTTGTTTTTTTCAAATGGCATGTGTACTTTGTAAGCAGAAATAACCTGCAAGAGTCCATATTTATGAAATTTTACTCACAAACACTACCTGTGTTATTATCCTAGGTTCTAGCTTGAAAGTGTGCTGTCCTGTACATGACACACAGCCTGAAGAAAAATGATTTGTGTTTACTTATAGGTCTAAAACCATTGCAATCTGGTGAAGTATTCTATTAAGTGAAAAATAACCTGCCTAATCTGCAACTGGATTCATGAGTCATGCTAGAGGTGAAAAGGAAAACAGACATGAATTGGTTGAATAGATGATGTTCTCATGACTTCTGAGTGCAGTTATTACAGGATCCTTACAATGTACTGCTGGTATTCCTAAATTTATGCATAGAGAAATGAGGCACAGAGACAAGTTATCAGGAGTAAAGAGAGTGCCTAGGCACCTAATGAATTAAGTTTCTATAGGGCTTGCTCTCAAGTACCCTCTAACATTGCCCTCTGCAATGCCAGTCATTGCTTCTTCATAGCATTTCTGCCAGAACTGAAAACTCTCCTTCCTCAAAGTGCTTTTTAAGACAAACTCCCTTGAGGTTCAACTGCATACTCTCAACTGACCTTTCATTAAGCATTTTAAAGGAAAGCTGCTGCATGAAGAGCTGTTTTCCACGAGCATAGCAAATTCTGCAAGCATAAACTATGCTAATATTGCTCAGAAAGTAAAAGTGACAATAACCCCTATTAGATGGTTCAATGCGAGACGTGTTTATTCACTGACAATCTGCTGCTAACTTGAACCAGTGTTTGGATTTGAGGGCTGTTTTGGTCACTAGCACTTCTCCAACTCTTCCTGATTTTTCCTTTGATATTCTCTATGTTAGAAGTGGTGATATTCAGCCTGCACATTCAGAAGCTATTCTTCCTGCCCTGTATTCTAAACCCTCAAGGAACAACTTTGCACGCACTTATATATAATCCTACGCACTTTCTACCACCTTCACTTCTCCTAGCTTTATAAATAACTTAGCCTACCACCTAGAACAAGGCCAATTTCTTTTGAAGTTATATTTTGCAATATTCAGACTGTTAAGGCAATTCCTACATAGACATAATCAGTGTGACACAACATACATGAAAGACCAAGTGTTCACTAAAAGCAATTCAAGTCTCAGTTCCTGCCAAATAGTCACTTATGATGAAACCAGATGAGGCTCAATGCATCACAACAGCAGGTCATCTTCCACAAACAAAACTCAAGGTTCCATTCTTCATTAAAATAACACTTTGTTTGACTGTTTAACAAGTACAACAAACATTTGGATTTTTCCCAACCTGCCAGACTGTTCTATCAGAAGGCAGGCTTTTTTTTCCCTTGTTACCTGCTAAAACAGTCTCTACTCTGGACATCAGGAAAGATAAGTCTTTAAATTAAATGTTTCAATAACGAAGTATTTCTTACAGAACCACAGAGAGAAACTACTCTTGCTTTACTTTTTGTCTTTTTTTGTATAAAAACCACATACTCTACAAGCTAATGAATCCACTCTTAAACAAACCAAAAAGTAATCCCCACAACAATCTTCAAGAAAACCGTATCCCACAAAGCCACACAGGAGAGCTGAAAAAAGTTCAAGTAATCACAGGAGTTTTCAAACAAGATCCAAAAATAGGTTGTAACAATTGACTACCAAGCTCTGACTGACTACTAGATGTCAAAAGACTTTTCCAAACACTTCTGAGGACATAGCCCTGGAGAATGATATTGACTTTGGGGCAAGTCCAACAACACTATTCTTGATGTCAGTTTTCGGCTGCGTAACACTAAAAACAAGAAGAGGACAGATTTCTACAGTGTCATTAGTATCTTATCTATATTCCTATTCTTATAAAACATGTTTATCCCAAGTTAATAGTAGTGTCACGCTCACTCCCCAACTCCACTATGCTGTAGAAACAATTTATACAGATTAAATATAAACGAAAGTCAAGTGTTAAATCTCAAGATCATAAAGACATTGTTTTAGTCACAGACTGTAAGTCAATTGTGTGTACTTAAGACACTTTAGATAACAGTAACCTTGAGCGGTGGTTTTCATGGATTTTACTAATAACCTTGACCAGCATTCCCATGGTATCCTTATGAAGAAAAGCTCGATTACACCACCTAGAATTGCATAACAAAGCTAAATAGGTACCGTTTATTCCTCAGGAATCTGATCTTTCATCTACTCTGGCGTCAATGCCATTAAATATCATTTATAATTAATTAGGAAAGAGTTGTTGGCAAAACTGTTAAAAGAAATTAAGTTCTGAGAAACAGATGTGGACACAAGATAGATAAAGTGTTCAGGATAGTTTAGCAAATTGGGCTCATCCCAGTATGTGACATGTTACAGCTAAGTGCCAGCTCAAATATCTAGGACAAATAAAATAATTACAATCCGTCTTAGAAACCATGATTCTGAAGAGAGCCTGGAGGAAAAAAAAGGCTGGGGAGGAAGCCAGCTGAGTCATGCCTCTAATTGGTCACAGCAGCAAACAGTACTTTTTTTGTTTTAAAAACGAAAGGAAGGATTAGGGAGGCAATGTTTACATTCAGCAATTCTCTTACTAAAAGAGATACCAAACCCAGGGACAGTGTCCACTTTTCCAAGTTACGTGTTCTAAAACTTAGAGTGATAACAGAAGAATTGGCAATAAAACACTTATAGAAACTTGTTTTAGACAAGGTTTAGCTCCATGTCTGCATAGGCCTTAAATCTGATCACAGTTTCTAAGAATATATACCAGGGAAGTACTGCAGCTAGTAAAGAACTACACTATGAGACAAATATGTAGAGACCTGATAGTTAAAGCCTCAGCTAAACTCAGTCTGGATAAAGTAAGAAAGTAAAGTAAAGCAGTAAGAAGTGGACAGATGCATCACAAATGTAAGAAACATCTCTGTGACCAAAATGTGCCCACCCAGTGGGCAACTCTGAGGAGATTCTACAGCTGGTGTTACACAGGAGATCTGAGTACAGTAACTTGTGTTTGTTATCACAATACCTAAGTTTAACTGCAATACAACAAATTAACATGAAGTTACAATAGTTCAAAAAAAAAAACATAATAAAATATCAATTTTTAAAAGCAAATCTGTCTGAAAAGAACAAACCTAACAAGACAACATTTTACTTGGGTAGCTCTCAGCTCAAAACAGTGAAACAAAAAAGCAGAACACTATTTTCTATCTTATAAAGTGAACTTAAGTCAAATGTGAGATGTTTCCAATCTATGCTATTCAGTAAGCCACGAATATAATTAATCCCACTGTCAGAATCTTAGTTAAGTGAATTCTTTCTGCCTGCATAGTGTTAACCTATGCTTATATGCTACTACCAGTCTTAGTTAAAACAGAATGGCAGAACTACTAGTAAAAGTACACCCTGAAGCTCCAAGAATACTTGCACTTTTTTTTCTTCAGAGCATTTAAAATCTCTTCACGACAACACAAATGAACACATATTCAGCCAAATGTCTGCAGATGTCAAAGGAAGTAAAGTTCATATTTAAGTAGTACTGAAATGTTATGTGAATATGAGAGGACCTGTTAATTTTCTTCCACAGATGAATTTTCACAAAACCTGTGTATTTTCGTCTATGTTGGTGGCATACCTTTAAAAATGCTCAATTCACAAGTGAGACACAAGTCTGCATAAACTGATGTTTACTGGTCAATCAATACTAATACCAATAAAACTTTTCATAACATCTCCAATTTAATAGAGGAAAATGCATGATATAAAGTAAATAATTATAAGCAAAACTGCTTCATGATAGAACCGAGAAAACCTGAAGGGAAAAAAAAAAAAATCACTATCAGTACTTTGTTTTGGAAACCTCTTCAATGAGAATTCTGCAATATATATCTTCCTTAACAGCAGATGACTGTCTTCTTCAAGTTTGCAATCTAACAAGATTCTCCTCAAGAGCACACACATCAGGGATTGCACAAAAAGCAACAGTGAAAAGTGATACTAAGAACAACCATGCAAATAATCATCACAACAAATTAATGCACAATAATATTCAAACTGATAGAATTTGATCTCATCTGTTCCATTGAAGTGTGTTTATGGCTTGAATTAAGATTGTGGTTTTGGTTGAACTACATGGCTTCTAAAGAAGAGACTAATTCTAGGAAAACTGCTTAAAATACAGCAGTTAATCACTTTCATAATTCTTTTCATAAGACTACAGAAGACCCAAAAATGATCAAGAATGATTAATTATATCCACTCCTTTCCACAAAAAGCAAAAATCATAATTTAGGAAGCTGAAATGCAAGACTGAAAAGTATGGTACATACAAGTTCATTACCGTTTTTTCCAATTACTGTTCTTCCTAAAAGGCTAATAGACAAATAATGTTAAAAAAAGTCTTATGTTGTTAAGGGAATAAAACACAAAAAAATATATTTTTTTTTCAGTCACCAATATATTGGTTAAAGGCAAAGGTTAAAGATATGGAAAAATCATATACCAAGTTAAAAAAAATCCAGGTTTTCAGACCTACATATGGTAACCATTTCATAAGATGTGCTAGTGAGTAGCTTAATTATATTAAAAAGATATCCTGTACTTAACTGCTTCCCCTGAATCTATGAAATTCTCAAACAGAAAGTGTTATCTCATGAAGATATATGCCTAATTAAATCAACTAAGCCACTACCCAGCATCACCTCAGTTTTACCCTGCTCTTTAAAATATTGGAGGCTAACTTCTAAAGTGCTTTAGCTTAGGGAGAATATAATTTTGTCCTCTATATTAGTTCTTACAGATGTGTTTAAGAGTACATCAGTCAAACAATGCATCCCATCTGTAACACAATCCACCCCACTACAGCTGAACATATGACGCACTTCCATTACCTGTCTCTGAAACATAAACAACAGGATGCTGCTTTAGAACTTTACCAAGTTTTGAAGTGGCTGCTTTTTTCTCTGATGGCTTCTTGGACTTTTTCACTGACTGCACCTCCTCTTCTGAATCTGTATTTTGACCACAACACAAATGTAGATTTCCTCCACATACAATACATACTTTAAGTAACAAATCTTAAAACATCAGTTAACATGTTTACATACAATCAGCTGAGAAAAAAATTATGTAGAAGGTCAAAGCACAGCTTCATTTTTCTCCATCAGCTAATATTCAAGCCATCATTTATTCTAGCATGTACATGGCTAAATCAAAATTTGTAGAGAACTCAGTCTAGCCAGTAGGTTTTTGTTTGTTTGTTTTTAAGTAAAATGAAATACAGTTACACGTTTAAGAACTGCTACATCTGTGCAAAAGCCTTTCCAAAAATTTGTACAATTAGCAGATTACCACATCAGATTATTTTAAAAAGAAAAAAACCCACACCCACAACAACAAACTTTCAATAGAGATTCATTAGCGTGATTAAACTTATATGGCAGTATATTATGTTGGTGTATTCCACAACATCTATTGCAAAAGCTAACACCAGGCTAGAGCAGAATCATTGAATGGTTTGGGTTGAAAGGGACCTTAAAGATCATCGAATTCCAACCCTGCTGCCATGGGGGGAGTGTATCACTGAGGTTCTACTCCCTGATTTTTCAGGAGAACACTGGTAGACTGCCATTCTCCTCAACATTCTCTACATTCCAGAAGCTGTCAGGACAAACTTATCTCACTGAAGATTATATACGCCAACATCCAAATGAGTATGCAGGACTAGCTGAAGAAGCTGAGAAAAATATCATGTTTAACAGATGGCTATTCTTCAGTGTCTACCTTTTTCAATGCTAAACCCTAATATATATTGTAATTAAAATTATAATACAAAATTCATACACATATATATGTCATCAGTTGACTTCATTCCCTAAAGGCCTTCTCCATCATTATCTACTTAGAGCAGCATTTCTCTTTTTCTTTTCCAACTGCTAATGGGCTAGAAGTAACAAAATCTCCAGACAATAACAGCACTAAAGTGAAGGTGTATACATATTTCAAAGGTAGCAGCTGAATTATCTACTACTTTTGTACTCCAGCTCTAAATGCAGAAATATTTCTCCTACAATTCCCCATAGCAAAATGAACTGTTTTAAAAACAGTTTATCTGAAGATTTGAACAATTTCTCCTGTTTATAATAGCATCAATATGACAGATGTCTGTCATTCTTTTTCTTATACAAAAAAAGCAATCTTCTATTAAGTCACTAAAAACTCAAGCTAAAGGCTTCAGCAGAAGTCAAGAATTGTACAAACTCCTGCTATATTTTCAGTTTCACAGCTATTCAAAACTTAGAATCCAAGCAAAGAACTAAATCACCTAACAACTGAGAATAATTTAAAAGCTTCAAATTCATAGATTAATTTAACTAACTTGACAGGTAAGTGGCTTTTTTTTTTTTTTTTTTTTTAAAAAAAATACAAGCACTATAAAAGGTCTTTTCCTTAGTATTATATTCCAAGCAGGATTTTAGAATGTTTGATGAGTGCTCTAAACAATATTCTGGGTGTTTTACATGGTGAATTTACAACTATGGAATTAACATTTACAAGGTTTCTAATAGAGAAAGACACATATCGAAATATGTTACTCTTTTTAAATAGTCTCCTATATTATGCTGCTCATGCATTGTCTGTAATTGTGACATTACAGTGCACAGTCATCCTCCTGTACCCAAAGTTGATGTTATTTATCCCTAACACAGCTGCAAGCCTGAAACTCCTCACATTTTACATACATATTTGTAATAAAAAATATTTTGGAATTTTGATAGAATTGGCTGTCTGGGCTAGTTTTTATTTTACTTTTTTAAACAGAAGCTTCGTTAAAAGTTACTGTATCTGGTATATAGTGGCACTGCATATTACATGTATGGCACACACTGCACTATTAAGAATCATTTTAACTATCCAACAATAATTACTATGAAGTAATAAAAATCACCAGTGCATTCAAAGATCTTCCCCTCTCCTAGAAGAGTGGCATATAACGTATTTTTAATTGCATTTACCAAAGACAACAACAAATAAATCAAGCATGGTTTTCTTTCAGACGTAAAATTTACCTAAATTTTACCTAAAAATTTTTACCTAAAATTTACCTTGAACATTTATGCAAAGACACAAAGGAACATTCTGAAACCACTGTGAACATTACCTGAATCATAGATTATTCTTTTTTTCTTGTTTGTCTGCTTTTGTTTGGGAACATCTTCACTGGGTGAATTCTTCACCTAAGAGCAACATTCCATTATTTCAACCAGTAAATGAGTCCTTCTAACTTTTATTCAGTTAAATTTATAAGTTTCAAACAAATCCTAATAGAAAATATTTTATTACACTTATGAACAACCTTTTTCTAACTCACAGATGGGAGAAGGGGTGCAGGGGAGAAGAAACAATGAACAAACTTCACTAGCAAAGCTCAGTGTGATCAAAGTAAACAGTAGATTATTTTGAGAATCAGTATTCAGGTTTAACACCAATTAAAGTAAATCAAACAGATTTTCAAACAGTTCCAAGTTTTAATCCAAAAGAGAAATTGCACAGCCCCACCAGAAACAAAGGTAGTACAGGCCAATATGTTACTTCTAAGGAATTCAGCCAGTACGCTCTTGGTTCTATTCCAGATACGGCTCAGCAATAACGACCAGAATTTGACAAAACTTCAGGGTAATAGCTGATTGAAAAAGAGAAGGGGGAAAAAAAAAAAAGCACCATACGCAACAGTTGAAGCTAGACTGATTTCCTATTCAGCATCCTAGTTGCTTGCACCTTCTCCTCTCACTGGTTAGACAGTGCAACTACCGAACACACTGCACCAATTGTCACAGTGGACAAACATGTTTTATCTGACAGTAGCTAGTATTAATCCATCTTAAGGATTTATTATTTTAAAAATAATTAAAAAAAAGAACAGAAGTTTTAGGTATTTTGAAAAATCACAGGCTGTACAGAAAGGAAGGTTTGTGCTTGGCAAAGTAAAAAAAAAATATATATATATATATTGGTCATGCTGTTTTGGTAGTCACACACAGCTGTCAATGCTTTGAAATACTTAATCCTAGATAAACATAACTGTATATGCTTCATAATTTGCATCCAATTCTAACCTGAAGCTTGTTAAATTATTGATATAATTGGAGAAGCGCAAAGTAAAAATAATAGATCACCATGTAATTGCTATGTCTTTCCATTCCATTGGATGGTCCTCTATATTGACATTGAAACACTGAAATTACATGCACACACACTATACCTCGATTATTTTAGAACACCACCTTACTTCTTAATTTAGATGCTTCAGAGTAAACAATCCTATTAGCAATCTTTCCTCCCTCTAAGTGATTTTAAAGCCCTCTACAACCACTCCTTTCTGTTTTATAACAGTTCAGGTGAATAACATGAAAAGTACTGTGAATCTAGAGTCCACCCTCATTTAACTTGTCATTTTACAATATTTGATCTTTGCAACAAGTTTGCATAAGTGCCCCCTCCAAGAAAGGTAATGTTAATGCCTCCCTCACAGACGTTTAAAAAAAAAAAAAAAAAAAAAAAAAAAAAAAAAAAGCGCACCTTCCCACAGACATTTACCTGACTTCATGATATATCTACTGTGCATAAGCATCAACCTTAATGAAAAAATACGAGAGCTGCTTAGAGAACTATGGACCATAGCTAACTTCAAAAGCATCAGATTGTTCCTATATTAGCACCTAACCAGTTTAGCTTCTACCTACCTTTCCTTTTTCCTACAACCCAGATATTTTGAAGATTAGTCATTCCCTTCATCACCTACAAAGTTTTGCTGCTAGAAGTAAGCATTAAGTGACAGTTTATAGCCGTATCAATAAAAAACTGACATATCATATTGTTTTTTAAGTACCTGAGAAGAATTGTGACTTTAAAAACAAGATACAAACAATTGCATATCAGAGAAACCATACACTTTACAAATAAGAAAAGCAAAAAACTAACCTTAGTCTCTTTTCCCCTCTTTTTCCCACTCGAGTCTCCTTCCCCATTTTTTATTTTGTCACTCTTTTTCACATTCTCGCATTCTTGTCGCTTCCCGGGGGGTACAACGCCAAAGAATTTCCGGATATCCTATTAAAAAGAAAATTACTTCATTAAGTTTTTAAATACAACTAACTCTTAGAAGTTTCATGCTGCAAAACAGCGGTGCATTTAAAAGAAAGATACTCTCTCAGCAACTCCTGTTACAACATTTGTTGATCCACAAGTTTTGTTTAAAATTAAGAAAACGAATACCAACTTGTTAAAAACAGCTGCTCAGGCACTGCACAACCTTTCTCCAGTTTCTGAATCATGAAAAAAGTTTGTTTTCCCTTTCTACCAAATTCTTCAGCAATACACAATTGAAAACTTCCATTAGCAATGGCATATAGTAACTTCAAACAGATGTCTAACTAGATTTTTTTTCCTAATTAGTTATCACAAACCTAGCCCAAAGCGTTTTTATTGTTGAAATGACCAGCTCAGGTAGGAAGCAGCATACAATGTAAAGCAGAAAAAAGCACCAAGATCTAGAAAGCAGTCAATTAGTTGGACATACTGTATCCTCCAGCTTTTGATAAATTTAGGTCAGTAAATCTAGTCTCACTAGACTTAGCTAACAAGAAATAAATTGAGAAAAAATACATTAAGAATATAATACAAAGAGCTCCAGAAAGGTCAGTTTTGTAAACTTATTTTAACTTACCAGAGTACAACTATAAAAAACTTCCTAAATAAGTAAGATTAGTACCTGAAGCATCAATTACATCATGCACTAGCCTACACACAAACACCAATCTGTTATCCTGTTTAAAAACCTCACGTTACAGTACCATTAAAAAAAAAGACACAAAAATTGTACCTTTGTAGTACTACTACCTCCAGGGGATAGCTGCCATTGTAAAGAAAGACTGAAAGTATCTGATATGGCCTAAATATATGGCAGATAAGGGGAGTGGCTCAGGGCCATACTCTACCCAGCTGGCAGCTACTCCCCATCAGAGAGTGAGAGCTATCACACAGCTAGGTCATGCTTCTTTCTTACAGGATCTAGAGGCAGAGCAGTAAATTGTAAAGAAAACCTTATTTAAAATCTCCATAACACCGTGACTGATTATTATGTCTGTATCAGGCTCCTTTTATCAGGCCTGTAATGGTTTGGATTTGGATTATCAAAGCTTAAAGGGTTAAAACCGATGGAATACATGACTTGAAAGCATGAACAAAGTATAGGACACATCGATTTATTTAGTATATTTAGCTTAAAACAATATTCTAGACTCAGGAGTATTATTTCCTGGAAAAAAAATGGTCTGTTTACATTTTACCTGCATAAAATCTTATTGATTCAGCAACTGAAGACTGGCAGACTGAGAAGCAGTGAGACTACACACGCTTCTGTCTACGAAATTCATGCCTCGAGGTATAAATTTTCATCACTTAGCTATTTTACATGTACTCCTACAAAATAAACGCAGCACTATACATCTCTGAAATTGTAACTGCAGATACCTGTATTAAAAATGTCTGAGGAAAGCACCTATGTAAAAAGTTACAAAATAGACTCGTGGACTAGATCACTCAATCATCATTACCCACTTCCTAGTCATAAGGTAACACAGGCAACAATTCTCATTAGATCTTTTAAATAGTAACATAATTTAAATACTTACTGCAACACTGCAAATTAAACTGATCTTAAAATAGTTTTATTTCCATTTTTTTTATGATAATGTTACTTTAAGCTTAAAATATTTGGAGAACAATTAATTTTAAATCAACAGTAACTATTCATTCCAGTCATTTAACTAAAAACTTAGCTAGTAAGTGAGCTGCTCTGCTAGCATTAGCATTATATGTAGTAATAGTAGATTTTTATTTTATGCACTGAAATCTTGGGTTATATAGCACTGTATCTTGGGTTATGAAACACAGATTTAATAAAGAAAATATATGAAATTGCCCTGTCAATTGGCCAAAGACCCAGCTACTTCCATTATTTTAATCCCAGTTCCTCAACTGCTAAAGCCCAAATTATACCATGTAGATTATTCTTTTCCTGCCTCATCAGATCTCATTGTTTTTTTGTTTTACTCAAACAGTATCTTCTAACCACCAAGAAATCACCTGTCAAAGTGCTACTTATTCCTTGAAAATACTGTTGTGACACAGCATCTAGACTCCTACAATTGCCTCCCTGTGCTAACACTGCAGAGTCTATTCTCTTGCTGCAAATTACACCCCAGTTCTCAAGAAATTGCAACTCTTTTTTTATCGTTATGTGTTTGTGTTTAGTTATTGTTGTTTTTTCAAAAATACTGTAAATATAACAGCACAGAAGCCACCATTTTTGAGTAAAAGATTCTGTACGAGTAATAAATTTTCATTTCCCCTGGTGACAATCTACTTAGGTGTGACTAAACTACACAGCCCTGAGCTACAAAGGAAATTCAGCAACTATGGACAATCTTCTTCAATCTTCAGAGTTATATATTCTCCAATCTTCTTCGGCCAGCCTACTTTTCAGAAGAAAAGGTAACCTTGTTAGACACTGCTGGACGGTAACAGATTGTGAATTCAGAATTGCTTGGGAGACAAGTACGTCACAGTACAACAAGAAAGTTATCTTTCACAGATACTTTTATCTGAGATTCAAAAGAGAAAGATTTTTTTTGTGCTATTTATTAAGTGACTCCAGATGAATAATCAATTAATTGCACAACCAATTGCAGAAACAAAGCAATATATGTATCTGTGGAGACACATACACCAGCGTGACTGTCCCAGGCGATCCCCTTTGCCCATGGGACTGGAATTTAAAGAGCTGGGGCTGTATTGGTCTGGCTCCTCACAGGAGCTCCAGTAACAGCAACGCTAAGTGTAACTTTGAGCAGTTTCACCCAAGTAAGAGGGAGGGTCGAGAGTTTTTTACTCTGGTCTCTACCAGTCAGATCTGAAAATAAACATGATGAAATTAGTACTGAGCACTTCAGTTTAGAGGCATCTTTTAAACCATGGCTAATGAATCAGGGATTCTGATCCACATTTTGACACCGAATGTCGCAGAGACCTAGCCACAGCCCCAGATAAGGCGCTATTTCTGATCACTCTCACTAAATTAGGGGGGGAGCTCATGCATAGCGTCTGAGCAGCCTCAAAAGCTGTGTTCAGGTGCACTGCTTCCTGCCGAGCTATCTGCGCAGCAGTATGACCTCAGTAACGGCTATGCAGGCTAGGTCTTGCCAGCTCTAACTATTGTTTCAAATCCTCAGTCTTATGCAGTAACAGTAGACAACAAAAATTAATCATGGTAGGCTGCAAGTTTTCTCTTGGAAGATTGTTATACATCAGTTTTACTGAGGAGAAATAAGGCTAGTAGAATGAAACCTATTTGTTAGGCAGTAGAAAGGCTCGAAGAGCTTGTCAGGGTGACCTTTCAGACTTCAGTAAGTACCTAATTAAAAAAAAAAAAAGTCAGTTAAAAAAGTCATAAGCATTCCATATTGGCTTTCTGTCACATTTTTTTCCTGCATTTCAAAAACACCTTAGACCAAAGATCAACACCTAGATGACGGAACAATCTGAAGACCATAAAACCCATTAACCATAATAGGCAGTGTTTTTAGAAGACTACTGTCCAGTAAAGCAGAATATTTTCCAAAATACCATAACTAAGTTTGCATCTCAAAACCACACTATGAGATAGAAAATTGAATTTTATCAACCTACCTAGCTCTATAGGAAGTAGCACAACTTCAGCTACTCCAAAGGGTGTCTGTAAGAGCCTTCCATCTAAAGAGTCATTCGGATGTATTTACTGTCTGCCTATTTCATATTTCAGTACAAGTTTTGTGCAAATACCACCTCTGATACCTGGCACGTCCAGAAAAATTGCTCTGGCTGAAATCAAATTTGCAGTATCACTTGAGTTAAACAAGTAATACCTGCTTGTTTAATCATACTAAATAGTGGTAATTGAATCAGAGAATGGTTTGGGTTGGAAGGGACCTTAAAGATCACCTAGTTCCATGGGCAGGGACACCTCCCACTAAACCACACTGCTGAAGCACAGGTACCACACAGTATTTTCAGAGCAGTATCACAGTTCTGAGTACATTCCAGCTGATGCTAGAGCCCTCCATATGACTGCATTTCTCAGCTAGAGGCAGCTCAAGGAGCCCCTGCTCCCAGTCACTCATTCCCCTCAGCTGTACCAGTATAGCTCTTTCCATGGGAACTGGGTCAGGCAACTAATCTGGGTAAAAAATAAATCCACTCAAATACAGATCAGTTTGTTGTGTAACACCACACGCATCCACTCAGCACAGCTGAGAAGATGCTGCAGAACCAACCCGACAAAGCCCACTTGTGTTTGGCAGTACATGAAAAAAGCGTGTTTTAAAGAGTCCGATAGTAAATCCCAGTAAGCCTGGGCTGTCACTGCACATCACCGAGCTGGGGACGAGGCTACTGGCATCTCTGTATTTTTGCCTCTGTCTCCACAGCAGTAGCAGTGATGGTTGTGCTGCCTCTTTTCAGCACTAATAAAAAAAAGGGAATGGACTGAGGCAACTCGTATGTTTCCAAAATGATTGCTACCTTCCTCTCTTCTAGGAAAGTGCCAGACATTGAGAGATGTGTAACATCCAAAAAGATACTACGCAGGGAGAGGGTGCCTTTATACCCGGGGGTCAGGAAGGAGGAAACAAGTCTTCCAGCAAGCTGTTCTCTAACAAGGTGTTGGCAGGGGAGCAGGGGAGTCAGCAAACGCCTCACCCTCCCACAGAACTTGGGTGGTTTGTGGCTGATGACTAAAATACCACCGCTTGTTGGCTTCAGGACTCTTAGTGCTGGCAGGCTGATATGGTCCTGCCCATCATGGCTGAATGTTGAGTGTGCCATGTTTATAAAAAGTTAAACTCGATGTGTAGGGGCCAAAACCAAAGGTAAAGTAAACTGGCTTTGAACTGCATTTTTCGGTAAGCCGGTACCACATCTGCACAGACTCCACCAGAGCAGAGGCAAACGTGTCAGGGCGAGAGGCGACGAGGGGCTACCATCCTGTAATGGCCGCATCCGTGAGCAGCACTGTGCAAAGCACGCACGTTTTGGACAGCAGACACGCACACAGAAGTTTATATTTTACAATCCCTCCACGCCCTGTGCAGGGCTGCACCCTCCGCTGTTTATCACCGAGTTCCAACCTCCGAGTTATTTCTGCCCCCTTTCTGCACACCCACTGCCCTGTCCGCTGCCTGAGCGGGGCGCGGGGCTGAGGGTGCGGCCTGCGCCTCGTTTCCCCTCCATTTTTTTTGGGAGGGGGGCAGCAGGACGGCCACGGACACCCGGGGACGAGCTGCTCCCCTCAGGAGAGGGGGCGGGGGGGGGGGGGCGCGTGCCAACGGCTCCAACGGCCGCAACGGCTGCAGCCGCGCGCGCCCGGGCAGGCGCCCACCGGCCGCCGCGCGCCATCTGCGCAACGCTCCCGTACCCAAACCCAACCGGCGCCGGGCCGGGCCCCCGCCCCGCCTCACCATGCTGCTGGCGGCGCGCTGCCTCCTCAGCGGGACGCCTCCGCCTCCATGGCCGCCGCCGCCGCCCCCCCCGTACCCCGGAACCCCGCCAAGCTTCGCGCCAACTCCCGCCACCGCGGCGCGCGCCGCTCTCGTCACAGGCGCGAGGGGCGGGGCGGAGGCCGGGCTCGGGGCCGGTAGGGCTGAGGGGGGGGCTCTGAGGTCGTGTGGCGCTGCCGCCCCCCGCCCCAGTGTCACCGCCACACCGTGTCCACAAGCACCTCGCCCAGCCTCTCCCTGAACGCCCCCAGGGACGGGGACGCCACCACCTCCTTACAGCCCCAGGGAAGCCCCAGGCCTTGCTGGGAGGGAGTCTTGTGAGAAGCACAAGTTACAGGCCCGGCACACCCAGCCGCCTCGTAGCATCCATTTCCAGTGAAATGGTGCATGGTTTCTTCCATTTTCTTCTCTACTTGAGAATTACTCCTCTAATTAGATCCCCTCTCAATATTTGATGTTTAAATTCACCCCCAACCTAATCTCAAAATTATTGCCAGCCTTGCAGGAAAGAAAGAAAAAAATAAATAAAAAATTTTAAAAAAAGTGGAGAGGACAAGCAGAAGTTCTGACATTTAAAATACTGCCATTAGTATAGAAAATCACTCATAAAACAGCAAAAAGTCCAAGTTCAGTTTGTACTTGTCTCATAGTCCCATTTCCCATGTTTCCCATGCCATCATTTATATGCCTTCTGTGTTTATATACCTTCTATATTCACCTCTATTTTTTTTTTTCCCCATAACAAGATCATTCAGTGACATGATCAAACTCCAGCAAAGATACTTACACAGATAAAAGACGGATCCATTTGCCTAATCTGAGAAATCATGCACATTAATGATACATATCACTGTTCAAGTTTACTTCTTTAGGTTGAACTTCAAGTAATTGAAAGATCCTGTTTGTATAGAAGTTGCTGGTGGATTCTTTCTTTTATATTCATAACATTAGCATAGCTTGTGAATTTGGATTAATGCTTAAGAAGCACAGAAGAGAGCAAGCAAGTAAATGTAGACCAGAGCACAGGCTACACTTTTCCGTACTTCACGGAATCACAGAATTTCTAGGTTGGAAGAGACCTCAGGATCATCGAGTCCAACCTCTGACCTAACGCTAACAGTCCCCACTAAACCATATCCCTAAGCTCTACATCTAAACGTCTTTTAAAGACTTCCAGGGATGGTGACTCCACCACTTCCCTGGGCAGCCTTCTTGCAAGCTATTCTATATCTACTCAACTATAATGGCTATGCAAACAAAACCAGTATCTCTTTAGAAAAACATCTCTAGCTATATGTTTGTATTTATCTGTTTAATTCTTACGTCATTTTTAAAGCTGTGTATGTCCCTGATACGAGAATTAAAGAGGAGTTAAAAAGGCTGACATTTGTAAGAGCCACACAAACTGTTTAAATAATGCTAAAAGAATTATTGCAGGTGGTTATCTCTGTTTGTATTTGATAAAGCTACCGAGAATAACATTCAGCAGAGCAGTATCTGCTTGTGGGCTTGTGACATGTTCATGTTTCTTGGAAGGCATGAGTTTAACCCTTCATGAAAAGTAGATTAGACTGAATATTTGGAATTCATTTCTGGGTACAGCAGGGGGATGATCTGTTTCTGCATGCACAGCTGTGAAACCACTGCAAGTAGGACAAAACATGTACTGCCACAGGAAACAAACCTGAATAATCATGGTATTATGATGTGCTTTGCAAGATAAAATGAAGGCAGTATCCCTCCTGGTCCTGTAATTGATCATGGGTTATGTTTAAAGACATATTATCCCATTTTAAATGCTGTTTGTTTTGTTTTTGTTTTTTGTTTTTTAACATAGCAAAAACACACTCAGTGTCATCACTGTATTTATAAAACACAAATAATAAAAAATCAGACCTTTTTTCTACCTTTTTGAAAATCAGACTGTTTGACTTTTCAGTTAATATTTTCCAAAATATATGAAAAAAAAAGCTGAAATGTTAACTTGAGCTTTAGGCTTCTTACCTATTGAACAAAACTAGTCTTACTGTTGTTATTAGGGAAGGCCTTTGCAAGTTTATAAGGAAAAGCATTTTCTTACACTGATACATGAAAAATCATCTGTTTCTTTTTATTTTCACATTTTTGTGTTTTACTATGTTGATACCATTTTGGAATTGAAATCAACTTTCATTGTAACTATCTTGAGGTAATGTTTTATTTTCTGCTCTACAGATTTTAATTACATGAAACTTAATTGAAGTACAGAATAGATAACATGGTAACATAACACTGATATACTTCTGAAATCCATAAAGCAGTGTTTATGAACTGTTTTAGGGGACAATTCATGTCAATCACTTAAGAAATCTTTTTGATGTATCATGCAATGGAGATGTTCTGAGCTTCACACATGTCCAAAGAACCTCAGAAGTTAGGAATTGCCCTAAAGAAGTACAGTACCATAATTTTGTGGGAAAACACAGCAAGAATATGTTTCCTGAAATTAAAATTTCAGGTTGAATTCTACATTTTTCCATGGCATTAATAAATGTTAAAGTGCTCATTTACTAGATGGTAGTCTGTATTTTGGTTGAATCCTGTAGGTAATAGTCTGCTTACTAGAGTCCCTAGTTAAAAATATATATATATATATTTTAGAAACAGGAATTTGCGTTTTGTTGCAGACCAAAAATTCCTTGTAAATCTGCGCTCTAGTTTCTATTGACGTTAGGCTTTCTATAGTAGCCATCACGATTATGTGTCTTCAGAGAAGAGTTGATCCCACCTCAAACAGTTTCTGCTGTATAAGGCAAAGATAAGTTTTAGGCTTGCATTGCAGCGTGAAGGACAGTTACATAAGTCATGCTTTTGGAGCACTTAACATTAGCAGATCTGAGCAGCCGATGCTAACGTAAACATCACACTTTTTCTAAGTGAACTTTGTCTTTAAGTCTTTGCTCTATCTTCATTTGAATATCTAGACAGAATGAGTGTCTTAACTCAGAAACTCACGCTGACATTGTGTACATTCAAACTTTTCAAGTAACGTGTTCAGCGTTTCTGCAGATGAAACCCCAGGTTTTCAAGCTGAACCCCTGAAAGAAGAAACATAATCTGTGGTCAAGTGAAAAGCTGGTTTCATAATTTGAATCACTTAATCTTGGCAGAGGCAAGGATAGAAAAGGAAATTTGATAGATGGGAAGTGAACTGTGTAATTATTAGGCCACCCGACAACTGTAACAGCAATGGCAGGTGCCCTGGAGACCACAGCCTCTCCCAGCTGTGATTCATTCTGAAACCAGGGCCATTAAATGCACGGCTGGGGGCAGGAAGTCCCACTGTGCAGCATCTTACTGACATCCACAAACAGCATCAGGGCTGGAGCCTGCTCTGACTCTGCCACTTGAGCTAGTGGAGTAATTAATTCCTGCTTCTTCTCTTCCCCTCCCTCCGCACCCTCGCCTCTCAACAGTCCCTGATCATATCTCACTAGCCTGTGTTAATTGTTTTCCAAATTAACAGTCACATATTTCCTTTCCCCATCTCTGCTCAGCTAGCTAATCATAACCCCTTCCAAATTCAAGTCACTACATGATTCTCATCGGTTTAATTGCTTCCTCTTTAACCTTATGAAGTTACATTATAGACTGAACAGTTGAAGTGACAAAGCAGTAAGAAGCTAGATTTGGAGTCTTGTAGTGGAAGACATTTCCAAACCCTGATTAGGGCATGCTCCAAGTCATATCAATAATAAGGAAAGAAATCCAGTTTGTAACTTTGTCCAGATTAAGTGTCTGGGAGCATAAGTCTCTGCTGCACCTTTCACATCTCATGTGTATGCACCCCGTTGTCTGCAATAAGATGCAGGTTGCGCTAGCTCTGCTCTAGTTGCTGGGGAGAAGCCTGTTGGTTTTACCTCATCAAAACAAAGCCACAGTGTTACAGAGCTGCTATGGGCGTTGTGAACTCAAACATGCAGTAATCGTGGTAACAAACTACCTTAGCGATATAGCAGCATCTACAAAGACTTGTGTTGCAGTTCTGTTTCACAGCATACAGTACAGTAGAGCCCAGCCAGTAGAGATCTGCAGTGCAGAAGGTGTCGGTGGGAGCTTTCTTCAACAATTATGATGAAACTGTTTATTGTACAGGCACTGCAGAGAAATGTTTACAAACATGTATCAAGGTAGATGTTCTGTTGTTTATCTTAAAACAAATATAAAATGTCAACCATCTTCCATTGTCTTGATCAGCTTAATTGTTAAACTCAAGGTATGTCTGAATGGCATTATGCAATGCTGGCCAAAGACACCCAGGCTGCTTGCAAACATGCTCGCAGGGGCAGCAGGAACAATAAAGCAGCAGTAGCCCAGCAGTCCATCTGGACTTTCATCTCCTACATGTCAGCAGGACTAATTCATCCCAACGCGGTGCTGTACTTACGTGGTAAGTTGTTCCCATGCTCAGGTTTCAGTGTGTAACTGTCTTGCATGTAAAGATGCCTCATATTGCTCTTGAGCAGCTGTGATCTGTGTGAATACATGTTATATTACTGTACCTGAAGAAAAGCAAAAATAGCAGGCATCAGCCTTACTGTATTTAGTAAATTTACCATGTCTTGACACATGTTTTGTTGTAATTTGAAATATGTTAAAAGATGAGATTATAAAATCCTGTCTAGCTGCTCTGTAAGATACTCACTGTACTGATAACCCAGCTGCATAGACCGAGATTGTTAAATTAATCAATACCAAAATAGCATCTCTCAAGCCTAATTATCTTTGCTAATTATTTTTATTTAAATAAATTAAGGAAAATTGCTTAAGGACTAGAACAGACCTTGTTAATTTTGTACTGTTGCTGTGCATAGAGCTGCACAGAGGACTTTTATAAGGTTGCATGTATTTGGAAGAAATATTGACCTGCTTTGTGTTTACACATAATCAGTGGGATGTGCATATGTGTAAGTGTTGTAAACTCAGTTAAGTCACCAGGCTGTGGGGAGAGACAAAATCTAATAGCACTCAGGGGTCTCCCCAGAAAAGGAACAGGTTTGGTCTTTTCTCTGAGCAAATGATGTGAGAAAATATTCACAAGATATTGGTAAATATGTGGAGCTTTGTACCTAAATAAAAA